AAATGCCCAACACCCAATCCACCTCTATCCGTGGTTCTGCATGTAGATACTACTGCAGGCCGTCGTAGACCACGGTGGTTGTCTCGGATCCGTGTCCGTTTAGAATGCCCCTCAAGTGATGCAGGAGGTTCGACTCCTCCCGACGGTATGAATAATCGGGCCGAAGACTTTTTCGTGTCGTCGCTTGATATCTCTCATTACACAGGTTTCCTCCTGCATTATTTCATACCCCGCCGCACACACTTTGCTAATCCGCAGCAAGTTGCAACACACTTTTTGCTAACTCTCCCTTGAGAAAATCACTCAAATCACGCAACACAAAATCTGCCGCGGATACATCGTCTATTACAGCCGTTTGCAAAATTAATGGCACTACCCCTATTTTTGAGAAGAAAGCACAATTAAAACACACCAGACGTTTGTGCTCATTTCTCCCTCAATTTTTATCGGATCCACATCGTTCCAGGTGCGTTATAAAGCGACTAAGCAGGGCTATTAGCCTATCTCATCCAGCGGGGATCATTCTCAAAATTTGGAGACCCTGAAATTCAGTGACCCCCATCTTTCGGACGCTAGGTTCTGATTGCATTTTCTCCCTCAATACCTGACCGATTTCCTTGAAACCGAGTGATTATGGAAGGTACATTGGAGGCAATCAGGTCTGACATAAGAAAATGTGTGGCACAGACCTGGCACAGCCACACAGTGAGAGACTCCGTGAAAATGCAGGAATTCATTGGAGCGTGGGAACTTCGGTATGAAACCAAAATACGAAATATGAAGGACCTGTGCCTGGATAGTACCTTCAGAATGAGCCCAGAATCAACCAAAACGGTTCATAATTGACCTCCAAATGAGAGATTCAGTTCACAGGTATAAACACCCGAAGCGAAATTTCAGAACCACCTTCCCCATGAATTACAACCAGTAGGGGGCGTAGACAAGTAGCCCTGCTTAACCGCTTTTTTAACGCACCTGGAACCAAGTGAATCGGATAAGGATTGACAGAGAAATGAGCTCAAACTTCTGGCGTGTTTTATTTGTTCTTTCTTTCTAAAAATAGAGGTAGTGCCATTAACTATGCAAACGGCTGTAAAACACTGCGGAATAAGGGGCGCTCAATTCTTAGTTCGTGCAGTTCGTTCGTCGGATTTAATATTATTCACGGCATCTGATTGGTTGATTTAATATTTAAAGCGACGAACGAACTGCACGAACTAAGAATTGAGCGCCCCTATAGATCGAGACGGCATTTCGAACGGGTGTTCAAGCGAATCCCCACAATGAAGTCACTCCCCGTATGGCGCGCAATTCCCAACGCCAGTCGAGGACGTCGGGGGCTCGACCTCGTCGTTCCACCCTCCGGGGACCTTCGGACCCGGCGTGCCGACGGGCGTGCGCGTTACGTGCGCGCCGAGTGAATCTTGCACGTTGTCCGCCCATTCTGCGGCGGGTGTTTGGGGGAGCGTGCCGGAGGGGATCGTCGGGACCAGATTCTCGTGAATTGTCGTCATTTAAGCGTTATTCGTCGTCAAGAGATGTAGGTAGAGTTTTCGACTTAGTGGACAAGATTTTCTGTGGATTCGTCCGAGAGTGGTGTCAAGAGTTGTAGGTCCGAGGCCCAAGTAGATCTCTTATACCAAACGCGCCGAGGTGGAGCTTCATTATAATAAGCTTCATGACGTTCAATGACGAGGAGGAGCAACGTTTGCGAAGCTTCTGGTAAATAGATCCAAGCACCGGCTGGATCCGGCGTGATTTCTCCCGGTGCCACCATGTTTTTCGCGAATCGCGCAATTCGGTCCTCTGCTGCTGCTGCATGGTCTGAAGCTTGGACACTTGCCTGGCGTGATCTCCCTCTCTCTCTCGAGCTAGTGCTTCCCTCAAAATCCTTGTGGCAACCGATCTCCACCGCAAGTTTGCTTTTCCCGCCATTTTTTTCCATGCACATCATGATGATCGTCTCGCAAACCGAAACCACTCACACTATACCAGGCACATTCCTACGCTTGGCAAGCTGTCGTAGACCACGGTGGTCGCCCCAGATCCGTGATCAAGCTCCAACTGCCAAATTATCACGGGGAGCAGGAGGTTCGACCCCTCCCGACGGCATGCTTTAGCCCCGATGGAACCTTTTATCTTTGATTTTGAATCTGCGTGTTGTCTGACGTCGACCTCTTCCCAGAGAACAGAAGCTGAGTTTTTTTTAATAATTGGACACTCGCGTGTTCTCGCCATCCCATTCGCAACTTCGCACAAAGACCCGAAGAGTCGTATCTCTGATGGTATAGAAGGAGAAGGTGCGTGCCTGTCTTTGCCAATCAATATTCATCACCTCACGATCCCCTCCCATATATTCAGCTGTGATTTGAAGGAGAGGAAGCCGTCGTAGGCCAAGGCGGCCGCCCTCATCCCTTTATGACTAGGAGCGGAGAAGTTCAGAGGGAAGCGGGGGTTCGACTCCTCCCGACGGCATCCTCATTCGCCCTACCCTTTTTATCTATTGAATTTATTGTCTGACATCGATATCTCCCAGACGAAAGAGGCTGAGTGTTGGACGCTTGCCGGTTCACCTCGTGCTGTTGCCAGCCCTGTCCGAGGTGCGGCCAGGGGTCTGAGCGCACAAAGATCCGGATAGTCATACGTATAGAAAGTGCGTGTCTATCTTTGCCAATCATTATTCATCCCCTCACAACAAATATATTCAGGTATGAGTTCAAGTAGAGGCAGCCGTCGTACGGCGGATCCATCGCGCACCTCCCTTCAAATCTCCGCGGCCACTGGCAAGTTGCAACCACTCAAATCTCTGCTTTTCAAGTTCCCGCTTTGTACTTCCGCGAACACTGGCATCGTCTCGCAAATCGCGGCTCGCCTAAAATTTAAACTACTCGCATTAGACCAGGCACATCCATAAGACCTGCAGGCCGTCGTAGACCACAGAGGTCACCCCAGATCCGTGATCAAGCTTGATCTGCTAAATTATCACGGGGAGCAGGAGGTTCGACTCCTCCCGACTGCATGTGTAGCCGCTTCTGGCGTTACTTTTTTCTCTTTTGAATTTACATGTTGTCTGACGTCGACCTCTTCCCAGCCAACCGCGACAGAGTTTTCAATTGGACACTCGCGTGTTGCCGCCAGCCCATTCGCACGAGACGCGGATACAAAGGAGAAGTGTCTTTATCAATCATTATTCATCTCCTCACGATCCTCTCTCGTATACTCAGGTATGATTTCACAAGAAAGAAGCCGTCGTAGGCCGGGGCGGCCACCCTCATCCCATAACCCAGAGGCCTGTGAGAAGTTCAGAGGGAGGCGGGGGTTCGAGTCCTCCCGACGGCATGGGTCACCAAGAGCAAGTCTTTTTGGTGTCGCCTCGCCTTATATCTCTCATATACACGGCACAGGCTTCCCGAACTCTCCTCAATTCTTTTGTACCACGCCGCACGCATGCACTTGATCTGCTACTCCGCCACAAGCGCACTTGATTTACGTGTTAATTCGACCTCGACAAAATCACTCGCTGGCAAATAATGCAGCACGAAATATGCCGCGGATACATAGGTCTCCAACGAGGGATACAGCCGTCGTAGGCCGGGGCGGCCGCCCTCATCCCATAATCCAGGGGCCCGTGGAGTTCAGAGGTTGAAGCGGGGTTCGACTCCTCCCGACGGCTTATCCAGGCTGTGAGTATGGCGATTTTTTCCTCTTCCCTGCGGGCCACGACACTCGACTTCCCTCTAAACAAAGACTTCGGGCTCGTTTCCGTCGCTGTGTTCCTCCGATTTCAATCCCGCCATCGAAAAAAATCCTCGGTTCCACCAGTACGTTCTGTTTACTCGATCTCGTTGCATCCACGTCGGATGTACTGTATACCATCTGCGAATTCGCCTGAAAAACTCGCATTATAAAAGGTACACCCATACGACCTGCAAGCCGTCGTGGACCACGGGGGTCACCCCAGATGCATAACCATATTCCAGTGCAAAAATTATCACGAGAAGTAGGAGGTTCGACTCCTCCCGACGGCATACATACTCCCACCAAAACCTTTTTATCTATTGAATTTATTGTCTGACGTCGACCTCTTCCACATAACCTCGACAGAGTTTTCAATTGGACACACGCAAGCTCCGCACACAGACCCAGATATGTAGTCATATAGACAGTGCGTGTCCTCTTTGCCAATTAATATTGCATCTCCTCAAGATCCTCTCATGTATTCAGGTATGATTTCAGAAGAAAGAAGCCGTCGTAGGCCGAGGCGGCCGCCCTCATCCCTATATCACTAGGAGCGGAGAAGTTCAGAGGGAAGCGGAGGTTCGACTCCTCCCGAGGGCATGTCATCGAAGACGCGTCAACCTTTTTCTCTTTGAATTTACCTATCGTCTGACGTCGACCTCTTCCCACATAACCTCGACAGAATTTTCGACCTGAGTCCTCCCGACGGCATTTGATGCAACGTTTTTTTGTCGCCTCGTCGCGTCGGATATCTCTCTTTACACCAGCTCCTCGCCTTTTCCTCCATTCTTACACATGCGACATCCCGCCGCAACGCACTTGATTTAAATGCTAATCCGCCACAAGCGCACTTGACCTACTAATTCGGCCTCGACAAAATCACTCAAATAACGCGACACGAAATCTGCCCCATCGGATACATGGGTTATGTGGGTATCCAAACAGGTGATAAAGCCGTCGTAAGCTGGCGCGACCGCCCTCATTCAGTTATTGAGCATAGCATGAAAGTTTAGAGGGAAGCGGGGTTCGATTCCTCCCGACGGCATACATACTCCCACCAAAACCTTTTTATCTATTGAATTTATTGTCTAACGTCGACCTCTTCCCAGCCAACCGCGACAGAGTTTTCAATTGGACACTCGCGTGTTGTCACCATCCCATCCGCACGAGACGCGGATACAAAGGAGAAGTGTCTTTATCAATCATTATTCATCTCCTCACGATCACTCCCGTATATTCAGGTATGATTTCAGAAGAAAGAAGCCGTCGTAGGCCAAGGCGGCCACCCTCATCGCTTTATCGATAGGGACATGGAAATTCAGAGGGAAGCGGGGGTTCGAATCCTCCCGACGGCGTCAGCCGTGACTAGCATCTTTTTGCCCATCCCTGCGTCCACGGAATTCAAATTCCATCCTTCAGCGACCAGACATACCCGCGAGACTCGATTCGACCTAAAAGCCGTCGTAGACCACGGTGGTCGCCCCATATCCATAGGCTAGTACGACACCAATCATCATGGGGAGGAGGAGGTTCGACTCCTCCCGAGGCATTTGAGGCAACGTTTTTTTTTGTCGCCTCGCCTGACATCTCTCTCATATAAATGGCACAGGCTTCCTGGACTCTCCGAGCTCTTTTCACATGCGATATCCCGGGCCCCGCGCACTTGATCTTTTCACCCGCCGCAAGCGCACGATCTGCTAATTCGGCTTTGAGAAAATCACTGTTCACTCAAATAACGCAACATGCAATCTGTGGTAGATACATAGGTATCCAGCGAGGTGATACAGCCGTCATAGGCCATGGCGGCCGCCCTCATCCCTTGTCCAAGGTATCGTAAAATTCAGAGGGAAGAGGGGGTTCGACTCCTCCCGACGGCATACATACTCCCACCAAAACCTTTTTATCTATTAAATTTATTGTCTGACTCCGACCTCTTCCCAGCCAACCGCGACAGAGTTTTCAATTGGACACTCGCGTGTTGCCGCCAGCCCATTCGCACGAGACGCGGATACAAAGGAGAAGTGTCTTTACCAATCATTATTCATCTCCTCACGATCCTCTCTCGTATACTCAGGTATGATTTCACAAGAAAGAAGCCGTCGTAGGCCAGGGCGGCCGCCCTCATTCAGTAATTAGCCATGAAAGCTCAAAGGGAAGCGGGGGTTCGATTCCTCCCGAGGCATGTCATCGAAGACGCGTCAACCTTTTTCTCTTTGAATTTTTTGTCTGACATCGATATCTCCAGACGAAAGAGGCTGAGTGTTGGACGCTAGCCGGTTCACCTCGTGCTGTTGCCAGCCCTGTCCGAGGGTGCGGCCAGGGGTCTGAGCGCACAAAAATCTGGATAGTCATACGTATAGAAAGTGCGTGTCTATCTTTGCCAATCATTATTCATCTCCTCACAACAAATATATTCAGGTATGAGTTCGAGTAGAGAAGAATCCATAGGAGCTTGGATCAATCATTCCGTGTTGAGACACGAATCCAGGATTAAATCCGGGATTAATTAATCCGCACCACTGCCTACCGGATATGGAAGGTGTGGGAGATTGATCAGGATTAATCCGGATTCAACGTGTTCATAGGAAACAGCAAAAACCAGCACAATCGCGGCTCGAACCCACGACCTCGGAAGACAAAGAATGAATAGAACCTGAGATTTTCCAACTGAGCTATGCAAGCATGTAAAGCACCTCAAAAAATAACACTAGACCTTGTTCTAGCACCACATTTGTATGTGTGGCAGCTGCTCTTAGCTCAAAGTGCAAACCTGTTCTGGATTGGAAGTCAAGGTTTACACAACACGCACCTCAAACCACTTTGCAGTGTAAATCTAACATATCTCTTTGTACAATTACAGATACATGATAAATATACTTGGACTTTGGGTTGTAAACCTGGCTAGTCACTTAGATACAATTTTAAGGTATAACTGTGCTGTATCTTCTCCTTGTTGCAGCACTGTTCTTGTCAATACACTGTGATCTTGCTGAGGTCTAGTGTGTTTCTGGCCCAGTTTCTGGCTCCATACTGATGGCAGTAGTGCTTGCCAAATACGAATATGATATGGTAAATGGTGTATAATATTCACTGCTCAGAGACCATATCATATTCAAAGCATATCATAGCTATATTCACATCAACAAAATGAAAAGTCTTGTGATCTCTTGATCCTTTTGTCCTGTAAGAAAAAAAAATCGCAGAAATGCTCCTTAGAACCCAAGGGGATGGGTCACAATTTTCTTTTTTCTCATGTATAATGTGGTTATTATGTAAAACCTGACAGTTGTTCGTGGATTGGACTTCAGACCTTCTCGTGGTACAGCACGATCCCCAGTATTCCTGTGTGTGTGGACCCAGGACCAGTGTGGTAAAATAGGTTGACACAGGGGAATGTTTAAACACTACATACAACATGTATACCTACCCAAGCATCTCCAAGCTGGCCATGTGAGCATAGCGGAGATGTTGTTTCACCAGCATCAGTGTTCTGATTGTGCCCGGCTTCACACTCACATGCCTGAGGGAAATTGTGCAAGGTTCACTGGAGAAAATGTGTTCCTCCGCAATGGCAGACCCTGGGAGTGACCAGTGTTCGCCCTAAGGCCTAAGGCCTTAATTAAGGCCTTAACTAAGGCCTTAAAAATTTTTCACCCCAGCTCCGGACCTTAATAAGGGCTTAAAATATCACGTGCATGATTTGTAATTTTCCATTTTTCCACCCCGCTGATGTTGACCAGTCTCACTACAAAATATTTTATCCGGGAATAAGGAACAGAATCTTTAAGTTTGCCCGAATTTCTCCCTTTTCTGACTTGGCTCCATTTAGACTCGTGTCTTTCTCTCATGAAATATAGAACTGCATTGCGGGCTGAAACTTGAATAATGCTACAACATCAGCCTGAGGATAAGCTTGGACATGTTAAGAGAAACGGCGAAGCGAGGGGCCATGACTCGAGAGAGCAATTATTCAACTCAAAGAAGGACTACCACTATCAAGTCTACCTACCGAGGAGCCGTGGGAAATTTTCCTTAAATTTAAGGCCTTAAGGCTCCAGAAAACCCGAATTAAGGCCCTTAGGGCGAACACTGGGAGTGACTGAGTCAATTATGTATTGAGATTGATTACACCTACCCAGGATGGTCATAAAGTCGTGCACAAGACAGAAAAGATTCGGAAACTGAGCCTTGCGTGCAACCCACCACTGAACCATCAAATCACCATGCAGCAAGTTGTAGTAGTCGGAGCTTGTCAGCAACATTGCAATGTTGGGGAAGCAGAATTAGCTGAAGAAGACACAGTGCTGTTTTGATTAGGGGCAGCAGCTACGGCATGGTACACATAGTAAGTGATCTTCCAGCCAATTTTAGCATGAATGATGAACTCCTCATGGTTCCAGAGATCGGCCTTGAGCCTGTCATATGAGATGTGCAGATCAAGAACAATGACCAGAGTGTTAAATGAGCGAAACTTCAAAGCATAAAGAGCTGGCTGTCTCCCTTGCCATGCGTCAATGCGAGCTTCACCTGTCGTTGGATAAGTCCTCTTCATTTCCCCTACCATACCTGAACCCTGCTCTTTAATCTTTTCCATTTGATTCCTATTTTCTCATTCACCTCCCCAGACCCATCCTACCCACACCGTGTCCCGAAATCCTTGGAGACTCGGAGTCCGAGTCGCGGGCAACATTAACTCCGATCATGGTCTACGTTCGGCTATGTTCAGCTACTTCGCGTAGACACAGGTAGACCCAACTAGCCACACCATGGTATCATAACTTGGCCTCCGGACATATTCAGCCAATTTGTAAACAATTTGGATGAAGGCTGTCATTGGGCTACATTGGTCTACCACTGTGTCTACCTGTGGCTACCTGTAGTAGGCAGAGGTACACCAAGGTACACCAACATAGACCAACATAGACCTACGTACACCAACGTAGCCACACTAGGCATCAAGCCATCTGGCTTGATTTTGGCGGGGGCGGCCTCACAAGACCGATGACCCGATCAGGCCCTAAGGGGCCTGAGGTGCCTGTCACTCTGCCATTCTGAGGGACGCTGGTCACAAGCCCATCCTTGGCTTCCCTTTAATTTCAAAGGACAAGTCCAACTAACACTCAACATGAACCAGGGCTCAGGCAGAATAAATGTGTACATGGTATCAGTACTGAGCAGTGTTTTCTGGCTTGCCCCAGGTTTCCATTGGTGCATCATAGTATGAAAGGCTGGCTAAAGCAGTGTTTGCCCTAAGGGCCTTAAATCGGGTTCGCGCAGCCCTTAAGGCTTTCCAAACAAAATTCCCACGAGATTCACAAACAGAACTTTAGTTCTTTTTGTGCTTAGGTACCGAAAATGTCGCCAAAACGTACATGTGACTTGGGGCATCAATAGTCTCGTATGGTAGACTCTTGGTAAGCCACGGTCTAATCCATCGGGGTACCAATCTTCGGAGGTTGAAAGCCAAGTATAGCTCATTGAGAATAGTTCTCATTTAGTTTTGCACAAGAGCTTCTATTCAGCGTCATAAAAACTGAGGACTTCTTTAGAATTTAGAATTTAGAATTTAGAGTTGAGCTATGGAGGTCGCTGGCCATTTTTTAAGTGTTTTCAATGGAGCTGCCGCCCAGGCTGAGTCCCATCAATAAGCCCGTCAATAAGCCCAAAAGAAAAAGGATCGCCGTCGGCAAAGGGTGACCTGTTTACGGAGGAGGCATGAACTTTTAACTAAGGTTGTACACCATTGACGAATCACGATCCGTGTCTCGCTACATAGGTGCGAAGATTTCTTTGACCTTAAAAATCAAGATGGTCCTGAAAGGAAAGTAGTATTATAGTACTTAGGATGGGGTGATCCAAGCTGCTATAAAAAAATTGCTCCTGAAAATATATCTAGCGCCCTTGAAGAAAATTCTGTTTGTGACCCGCCGCTCGCCGGCCTACTACCTTCATTTAAAATAGCCGAAATAGCCTGTACTCCTTCAACATCACGTGCGTCGAAGGTTTATAAGTGTGGCTGCATCCGCCTTGGCTTCCGGTGAAGCATGAGGACATCTGTGATCGATCCTTCTGCTGCCCACCAATTAGGTGGCTTATCCAAGCTGTCTTTTCTCCATGAGTGCTTCCAACAGCTGCACAGGCTACACAAATTAACACAGCGACACATTGAAGGCAAGAAGATCTTCCTTACCATCCTGAAATGTCTGCACCTCAAACTGTGTTTCTCACATGTTTAGCCGCTGATTCTGATGTCGATTCTTGTATTCTTTTTGCATCATAGTCATGCAAAAATTACGGAAATCAGAATTGCAGAATTGTTGAAGCAACTTTGGAGGTGCTTGAACCAAGATTTTGG